CAATTTCTAGATTCCGTCAGTTAGGCCCCTGAGTGCCACATTTCATTAAAGATTCCTTCTAATTGCGTACGTCCGCGTGACATTTTTTTAATTATTTTAATAGTTTTTTAAATTCACATGGAATTTTATATTATTTTTAATAATTAATTTCTTTTAATAATGTAATTAATTAATTTATAAATGGCCCTAAACCTCTTTTTATTTTCAATTACAGCCCATTAATAATGAATTGAAACATAAGGTGACAAAGTCATTTATAAACACTACCATTTTTAGATAGAATTTCGATGTGGGACTATAATGCTTTAAAACACAAACCAGCTGTAGTAACATTCATAAACACTCCCTTTTTATTTTCCATAACAGCCCAAACTTTATATACAGAGCTTTGAATGATAGTAATGTCCAACTGTAGGTATAACTATTAAACTTTTACCTTGTATACATCACCAAAGCCCCCTTCTTCCAGTTTATTTTCTTCACTGAAGTTTTTTGTTGTAGCTTTCAAATCAATATACTTATAGTTAATTGGACCATTTGTTGCTTGAACCACCTTCATAACAGAAAAGAAGAGGTTACATCAGTTCCAATGAAATGAGGTACTACTAATAAAAACATGAATGAAAAGTGAACTTTATATTATACTTGTACCTTGACTTAAATATGTTGTGATATCAATGGCTTGATTATCAGCAAAAAAGGGTGTCTCTGAGTATCTCATAAAACACCCTACATCATATGCTCTACCATCTATATTAGGAAGACAAGTCTGCAAGTTGTTGTATCCAACTGTCATGCAATTAAGACAACTACTTTCTGTGGCAATTTCAACACATTGTGCAATGGCATAAATTGAACTATTGCTACCAGGATTCACCACTGTCACCGTAGCTGCAAAAAAAACATTTAATTTTTGGTGTTTCTAATTGGAGATCCATTAGCACTTTTTTGTCCAATTGTTCCAAAAGAGGCACCTTCCTTCGCAATCTTGTTCCGACATAATATACCACCCCTAGTTGTAGCAACATCATGCAGCAACAGATTTAGGACTTTTATAGACTTTTGTAGTCCCACATTGATTGGTATAACAACATATCTAGTCTTTATAAACCAATAAAACCTATGGACTAATGAATAAAACAAGCTTAGAAGAAATGCGGGCTGCTGATTAAAAAAATGGGTTTAGGCCCAAATGTATTATTTTGATAATTTTAAAAAATAATATCTAAAAATATTAATAAAAATAATAATTTAAAAACACGTAAAAATAATATAATATATAAAAATAATAAAATTAAATTAAAAAATTAAAAAAAACTTTACGAGGGGTTAAAACCTGAATTCGCTAACATTGCAAGGGGTTTGTATATTTAACCCTTTAATAAATCTAAATTAGTCAACTTATCTACGCACCTGTTGAAACTCTTGAATACAATGGCATTTTCTTGACAAAGATTACAAGCAAAACTACCTAAATGCTCACACGAATTATTCCTAAAAATTACAAGCAAAACTACCTAAATGCTCACACGAATTATTCCTAAAAATTCCCTTGCAGGATGCCAATAGAGGAGTACCACCCGATGCACCATCTGTATTCACTTTGATCCAATCCTGTTTGGGATGGCACCAAATAACTTCCTTAATAATTTATATTTTAGGAGAGTGAGTTTTGACCAAAAAAAATTTTAGGACATCAAAGTCCTGAATAGACAAATTAGCCTTCTTGATTGTTAGATTACTTGACAGTGAGGGCAATGAAATAATCAAAGAGCAAGTTGACTTCCAGTGAGTGTAAATTCTTTGACAATGAACGAGGTTTCTAGCACTCCATATGCAACAAACCATATGGATTACCGATGTAGTAACGACGACCCTTGATAAGTATTAATTATGCAGCTACTACCAAATTAAATGGGTTACCATGAAAAATTGAAAAAAACAGTAAACTAAGAAATAAAAATGCAACTCCATTTTTTCATAGCCACATTACTATTGTAGCAACAGTATAAATACTTAGGGTTACAAAATAGGACAATGGGCTTAAGACAAAGACCCACCACTAAATGGGCTTAAGTCACTTGGAGAAATAAATAAATAAAACTTAAATAATAATGCTAATACATAATATTATCTTTCATCCATAAAGGCTTAGTGGCTTTTCGTTTGGGCCTTGCATCACTACTTTCCAAGCTAAAATGAACCTTGGCCCCAAGGTTCTCGTTTATAGGAAGCACATGCAAAATATAAGCAGTAGAAGGAGATAATAAATTGTCATGTGAAGGGTCAGTAATAACAGCAGGTGTGAGCATATTTTTATCAATTGTAATAGAGGGTGGGATCCAGTTGTTGGCTAATGTGTCACGTGTAGAGGGGAAACGTGTCTTGGTCCACGCGTTGTTGTCTTGAGCACATGCATCCACTAGATCACTTGAAGAAAGATCAGAGTTTGGGGCTTCTTTCTCTCTACTCACCTCGTACTTCTCTTCCTCTTGCTTCGAAATTTCTGAGCATGCAAGAGGAACTATTGGGATGCTTGAAGGTTGAGAAGGAACAGATGACAGAGAGTTAAAGGTAGGAAGAGAAATTTTTGTGGAAACATCTGGGCTACTCACAGCCGTTCCCTCTGTGTTAGTGATAACTTGTTGTTGTTTTATTGCAGGTGAAGGTGTCGATAGAGGAATATCTTCACGGTAGCGGTGCAATGGGAAATATGGACAACATTGTGGATCTTCGAAGAAGGAGGGAGGTCAAGCTCGTATGCCACCGCGCCGATTCGGTGAAAAATGGAGAACGAACCAAAGTAACGAGGGGATAATTTTTGGGAACATCGTTGCTGAACTGAGTTCTACCGGTATGGTTGCAAACGAAGTAAAACGAGGTCTCCAACCTCGAAGGTACAGTCGCTTCTCTTTTTGTTAGCTTGTTCCACCATGTGCTTTCTACTGCGTGTTAGATTCGCCTTAAGAGTTACAAGGATGTTTTGTCTGTTGGCTAACACTTCATCGACAAATATGTTTTCAATGGAGCCTTTGGTGTAGTCCAAGAGTGTTGGTGGTGGTCTACCGTAGTGCGCTTCAAACGGGGTCATGTTGATGGCGGAATGATGTGAAGTATTGTACCAAAATTCAGCCAGGTGCAAATACCTGAACTATTTGCGAGGCTGGTCATCAGTAAAGCATCGAAGGTATGTTTCTAAACTTATGTTTATAACTTCGGTTTGGTCGTCCGTTTCTGGATGATAAGCAGTGCTGTGTTTCAGGGTGGTGCCTTGTAAACGAAAGAGTTCTTTCCAGAAGTTGCTAAGGAACAAGGGATCCCGGTCGGAGACAATGGAGGCTGGAATACCATGGAGACGACAGATTTCAGTAGAGAATCGAGTGGCGAGATCTTTTGCAGTAAAATGGGTCGGTAGGCCTATAAAGTGAAAAAACTTGCTTAGACGATCACATATGACCCAAATCGCAGTGTGCCCAAATGAAGCAGGGAAGTGAGTGATAAAATCCATGGTCAAATCCTCCCAAACTTGTTTTGGAATATATAAAGCCTGTAGTAATCCTTGTTTCTTCTTTGGAAGGTGCTTGTTTCGCTGGCAGATGAAGAAACATTGAACAAATTCTTTTTTTTCTTTGTGGATTCTCGACCAGTTGAAAGATGCAGATAAGCGAGAAAGAGTGGGTTGAACTCCAGAGTTTCTAGCAGAAGTGGTGGAGTGAAATTCATGGAGGAGAGCTTGTCTAAACTTAGGAATTAGAGGTACGTACAGTTTGTCCTTGTAATACATAAGGTTATATTTGAATTTGAAGAAAGTTTGCATTGTGGGATCTGGAAAGTATTTAGTTACGAAATCTTGACCCTGTTTTTGTTTTGTGTAGTGATCTCGCAGTTGATCAAGGAGGACAGGAACTGGTGAAGAGATAGTGAGATAGACAACTTCATATTCAGTATGTATGCGTCTAAGAGCGTCTGCTACTTGATTATTTCTGCCAGGTTTGTAAAAGATGTCAAAACTAAACCCTTGTAATTTTGAGACCCACTTCTGTTGCTCCGGTGTTTGTATTGTTTGGACAAGCAAATTCTTTAAACTCTTTTGGTCTGTAAATATATTGAAATGCCTACCTATCAAATACTGACGCCACTTCTTTACAGATTCGGCGATAGCATACATTTCTCAAACGTACACATAAGTGACTTGCATTCGGTTGCACATTCTCTTACTGAAGAATGCTAAATGATGGCCCTCTTGTGAAAGGACAGCATCAATGGCTACCGCGAAAGCATCTGTCTCGAGAGTGAAAGTTTTTTTGAAGTCAGGAAGGGCGAGCACATGAGTTTTTGTCATTTTCTTTTCCAACATTGTAAAGGTTGTATCTGCCTATGTACCCCATGTAAATTTAGTGAAACATAACAAGTCGGTGAGTGGAGCAGCGTGAGTGGCGTAATGACGAACAAAACATCGGTAAAAACCGGTGAGGCCTAAGAAACCCCTGAGAGTCGTGAGTGAGCGCGGCTTCGGCCAATCTAGCACAACTTGAATTTTGGATGGATTCGGGGTTACACCATTAGAAGAGATGACATGACCTAAATAATCAACACTTGAAACAACAAATACGCACTTTGACAATTTTGCATAAAAGTGATTAGAAGAAAGTAAGCCTAAAACGAATTCTAAACGACGAGCATGATCATATAAGCAAGAACTGTAAATAAGTATATCATCAAAGAAAACTAAAACAAACCGTCATAAATAAGGGCGCAGAAGATCATTCATCGTCGCTTAAAAAGACCTAGGAGCATTAGTTAAACCAAATGGCATAACTAAAAACTCGTAGTGCCTATAAAAGGTCGTGAAGGCGGTCTTATGCGTGTCCTCTGGTGTCACTCTAATTTGGTGGTAGCCTGACCTTAGGTCAATATTTGTAAACAAAGATGCAGAACCTAACTCATCAAATAGCTCATCAATGGTGGGAATAGGGAAACGGTTTGGATTGTAAGGGCATTTAGGGCAAGGTAGTCAACACAAAATCTCGAATTACCATATTTTTTTGCACTAGCAAAATTGGTGAAGAATAAGGGCTATTGCTAGGTTTAATAATACCTTCTGTCAACATATCATTGATAATTGTAGTCATGGCTTCCTTTTGAGAGTGGGGATAGAGGTAAGGTTTGACATTAACTAGAGTGTTGTTTGGTTCAAGGGGAATGTGATGGTCATGGGGTTTGGTTGGGGGGTATGTGTTGTACTCCAAAATTTTTCCTCTCATATTTCTCAAAACATTGCAAAGAAAATCTCCAAGTTGCTCAAGGTAGTCCAAGAGTTGGTCAGACAAGCTCTCTCCTAAGGCAGTCTATTCCAAATTAGGGTTTTATGTTGCATCAAGATCCTTGAGTCCAAGTGACCCCAAGTGCTCACCAATGTCTTCATATGTTCTCAAGATAATACATATCAAGTTTCAAGCCTTGCAGAGGAAGTTTGCTCAGTCAATTGCTCAAAGGTCCAAAAATCGACTGTGTTAGGGCAAAAGTCAATTGTGACCCAAATACAGTCAAACTTCAAGATTTTTTGTCAACATTATCATTTTGAAGGATATTTCATCATTTTATCAAGGGTTGATCATGATTCATCAAGGATTGCTCAAAATTCATCAAGATTTAAAAGTTGCTAAATTAGGGTTTTGCAGGAAAAGTCAACTCAACTTTGACCAAGCATAACTTTCTCATACTTTATGAGAGATGACCCATCAAAATCTAATTTTGAATAGTATGCAATTCCCTACAATCCATCAGCATATCCCAAGATTAAAAAATGCACTCACAAGAAGTTATGAATTTTGACATTATAGGTTATTTTTGAAAGTCAACAAAAACACCTTTTTTGTCAAAGCTTCTAACTTGATCATGGAATATCAAAATGAGATGAGACTAAAAGGGTTGGTTAGAGGACATCTCAAGCTTTCTAAAAAGTCCAAGAACACCTCCAAAAGTAAAAAATTAAAGAAGTTATACATTGTTTAAGTTGAACTTTTTTGCAAAATTGCCAAAAGTCAACTATCCCCAAAACATCAAATTTTGCCAAATGGGCCCATTCTTTTTCACTTATTTTGAGTTTACATTATTGCCCACGTGCTCTAGCTTTAGACATGTGTCCATATCACATTTTTATTAATTATTTTGATTTTTATTTGAATTAATTTGATTTAAATAAAATGAAATCAAATAAAATCCAAAGCATTGATACTAATGGATTTTTTGACTGTTTCAGGCTTTAACCACAACTAGCAAACCGTTCCCAATTCGTATCAAGGCATAAGGGTACAAAAAGATTGAAATCAAGCCAAAATTGGAAGGTGGTAAAAGAAGATCAAATCAAATATTCAATCATCAATGGAGGAAGATTTTGACATAATTTTTTACCCTAATGTATTGTACAATACATAAGGAGGCGAGAGACACAAGAATCAGGGTTGAAGATCAATTGGAGAGGCAGAACCAAACTTGCAAAAACAAAGAAAAAGCGTGGGATCGAAATCAAGGTTAGAGGTCGTTTCAGGGCTTGGCAAGTATCTCAATCGTTTCCTGGCCATCTCCACAAGTGAAACCAATCACAACCAGGCGTTTTCAAGCTTCCTAGAGCACTGTAACTCATCCACGGATTCGCTACATTCTTGATTTCGTATTCTTGAATTTAGGCATAGTTAGCATGAATTGATAGTATATATTGAATATACAAATCATTTGCAAGCTTTTTGTAATAACCAATTGCATTTATCTGACCTGTATGAAGATCCACCATTGCTAGGGTTTGGTTCTTGTTTTTGGGGTTTTTCGTTTCAGGAAAAATTGGCCATGATAATGGCTATGGTTGTGATCAGCAGGTTGAGACGAACTCAACCATGGTTTTAAAATGCATTTCCATGGCCTATACAAGATTTTAGAGATGCCTGGTTTGTAGTGACTGACCTCTGTCCGTAGGTATAAGCCCTGGAACTTTTAGCAACGGTTCAATGAAGGAGATGAAGGCTTGTCACGTCATCATTGGACCATTCAAATAACGCGCGTTTTTTTTTTTATTTCTGGAAATTGATTTTTGTTTTTATATATTGCATTATGTTATTATTATTATTATAACAAATGAAACAATGCAACCCATTGGTAGACATCTCAACGCTTAAGGCTCTCAAGGCTGGAGGTCAGGGGTTCGATCCCTGCCTCCAGCAATTTGTGTTTTCTTGTTATTTTTCAGGAAATCATGTGTATGCTTAAGCTTGAGATCTACCATAGACACTCACCATCAAAGCGCCAGATGGCCAAATGGCCAGATCTGGTGGTCAAGCTTGGAAGGCGCACCATAAGCCAGTCAATGTGTGTGCACAGGATCACCAAAAGTTAATTGGATCAGCTGCTATTGGGCCAACAAATTGCTTTCTGCACCCTCCAAAAAAGGTCCAATTTCTCTACTTTCTATATATTTTATTTATTTGATTTATTTATTTTACTTAATTAATTTATAACCAATGGATTAGTTTTCTTTTTTATTACAAAATCACAAAAATATTTTTATCCAATAAATTTCAGAATTCTCTTTTTTATTAATAAATACTAATTAATTAATTAGGTTTTTAATTCTAGAATAATTTTAATTTATTTTTGTAAATATTTAAAATCAATTAGAATTAATTAAGTTTTAACACTAACTTAATTATTTTAATTTCTTTCTTAAATTAACAAAAACTCCAAAAATATGTCATTAATTATTTTTCATTAATTAATTTATTTAATAATTAATTTAGTATTTAATTTAGATTTAATTTCTTTTCTTAAAATAAAAACAACAAAAAAAACATTTTCTTTTAAAAGGGTCAAAACTCTAATTCGCATTCGATTTAATTTCGCATCGCGCTTTATTTTTCTTTATCCAATTAATGTATCTGCTTCCAGTATGTAATAGTTAATTAGGACATTTAATTATTTTACCGCTTTATTTTATTTTCAAAGGGTTGCTTTTGGCGATGTAAATACCCGACGCCTTGTAATTTAATTTCCGCATTTTAATTCCGCAAATTACACAGCTGTTAAATGTTTGATAATAGGGTTTGCATGACAAGAATGAATGCTTAATCTTAAAATCAAATTAGATCACCCTTGACATGTGTAAAGATAAAAATAACTGAAAATAACACAATCGCACATGCACACTCCTAGGGTACACCCCACTTGGTCGCCTTCGTACACGGTCATTGAGTATAGGGTATTTTAGAGATCGCCCTCTTGTCTAAAAGATCATAGTTGCCTCGAAACGGTCGCCTCAGATATCATTGCCTCGAATAAATGATCTAAGACATTAGGGTTACCGCTAATGCATCCTAACATTGCTTTAGTGACCGTATGTCCCTCATTCAAATTGACCCTCAAACTCCAACGACGGTGCTACCTACTCATTAATAGTGGGATAACATTGTCTAAAGGAAATTAGCATAGAACGTTTCCTTTTTCGAGTAGGTAGATAGTTCTTTGATACTTGCTCATCCAAAACAAACTTTTTTCTCACACTTACACTCCTTTTCAAACAAAGTTTTCAAAAACACTTCATTACACTCTTGAGGACAGAAGCAAGAGTTAAATCGAACTTAAAATAAAAACTTTTCAAACCCACAAGCACAAAGAAAACATTTTGAAAATGATGAGTAAGTACCTAAGAGCCCGTAGATAACTACGGATAGAAAGGGTGCTAATACCTTCCCTTTCTATAATCTACCCCCCGTACCTAGAAAATCTCGAAAAAGGAATTTTTCTGTGCTTTTTTCCTTTCCTTGTTGGATAAAATAAAAGTCGGTGGCGTCTCTTGCTTACCGTGACATTTTGCGAAAAACAAACGCAAAAAGAAAACCAGCAAAATTTCCTTAACGAAATAGGGAAACCACGTCCCGGTTCTGGCCACCGTATCATAGAACTGGCGACTCTGCTGAGGAGATTTTAAGTGGGGTGTACCTTAGGAATAATTCATCATATTGTTTTCAATTGCTTGATTTGTATGCTTTATCTTTGTTGGTTTGTATCGGAGTTACTATAGATCCTAACCCAGATCTGGGGATACCTTTTAGGTAAGTAGCAATAGACTGTGAGGGAACTATATGGCGTAGACCGATACGGTTGAAGCAGTAGCTACGTTGGTGTGACACTTTAGCTTGTACCGATATCCCTTGTGGTGGAACAAGGAGAATATGGGTCTTCTAAGGGGTCATTAAGCACCAACTGACCTTAGAACCTATAATTGACCAACTTGGCCATAGAAAAGTAGCAGTATGCTATACTCATTGAGACCAAACTCTCGCGATGATTTCGACCGCAAGAAAAGGTTGCCAAACTGGAATTATGACCGATCGAGGGTGGTTAGTGATATTGAGATCCTCTAGAACCCGGTTACTATTACTAGGACAGGTTTGAACCAACTGAACTAAAAGAGGGTAGTACCTAAACTCCTTTCCAGCCTGAAATCTAAGGGCTATCTGTGTGACTTGTTTGCCCTTACCATGTTTGCTATCTGTGAATACTTGTGGTGTGTTTCTATCATAACATCATACATCATGACATTGCATGCATCTTTCATCAGGCTAACCCATTTCAAAGACAGAAGGGATTCATCTTTGTTCTGTTTTGTAGTTCATGGCACCTATACGTAGAAACACTATTCGGATCAGTTTTGTTCAGATTCCTACTCGGCTTAGAGATTTGGTTGCAAAGGTTCTAGATACTTCCTCCTTTATCAGAAGACATGGTCACCTCCTTGGATTGGTCACTTCCAAGATGGATGAGCAGATGTTGAGTGTATTATGCCAGTTCTTTGACCCATTGTACCATTGTTTCACCTTCCCGGACTATCAGTTGGTCCCTACCTTGGAAGAGTTCTCTGATCTACTTGGTATTTCTATCCTAGAGCAGACGCCATTTACAGGTTTGGAGAAAGCTCTTAGGCCAGAAGATACTGCTACAACTCTACATCTGACAAAGGCTGAGGTAATGTCTAATTGGGAAACTCAGAGTGGTACAAAAGGCTTCTTGGCTAAGTTCTTGGTTGATCGGGCTAATCAGTTTTGGGACAGTTTGGATTTTCAAGCATTCAAGGATATCCTGGCTCTTCTCATTTATAGTTTGGTGTTGTTTCCTAACTCAGATTCTTTCGTCGACGTGAATGCAGTGAAGATTTTTATGTCTCGTAATCCGGTGCCTACTCTCTTGGGTGACATTCTACACTCTCTTTACGCCC